TCCTCTCCTCTCCTTTCCTTTCCTTTCCTTTCCTCTCCTTTCCATTGCATTGCCTTACTTTTCTTTCCGCTCCTTCCTTCTTTTTTCTTTTATTTTGTTTACTCTCCTTTCTTTGCTTTCCATTGCTTTTATTCCCTTCCCTTTTCTATATTTTCACTTGCTTTGCTTTCTTTTACTTCCTTTTCATTACTTTGAATGTGATTTCAAATGCTGCATTGAAACAAAAAGTTCAAATTATTAATCAGTCATGTTTTGTTTGCAGTCGATCAGATCTACCACTTGGCATCACCTGCTTCTCCACCTAATTATATGTACAACCCTATTAAGGTACTATATAGATAACAATAAAGTATTAAACAAATTTACATGATGCAGTCTCTGTGTGCTGCAATTCCTGTGGGGTGCGGTCCCTGTATGATGCAGTCTGTGTGTGATGCAGTCTCTGTGTGATGCAGTAGTCCTTGTGTGATGCAGTCCTTGTGTGGTGCAGTCCCTGTATGATGCAGTCCGTGTGTGATGCAGACCCTGTGTGATGCAGTAGTCCCTGTGTGATGCAGTCCCTGTGTGGTGCAGTCCCTGTATGATGCAGTCCTTGTGTGATGCAGTCCCTGTATGATGCAGTCCGTGTGTGATGCAGACCCTGTGTGATGCAGTAGTCCCTGTGTGATGCAGTCCCTGTGTGATGCAGTAGTCCATGTGTGATGCAGTCCCTGTGTGATGCAGTCTCTGTGTGCTGCAGTTCCTGTGTGGTGCAGCCCCTGTGTGGTGCAGTCCCTGTGTGATGCAGCCCCTGCGTGGTGCAGTAGTCCCTGTGTGTTGATTGACAATGAATTAAAACATTATTTTGATGCAGACTATCAAGACAAATGCAATAGGTACATTGAATATGCTTGGCTTGGCTAAAAGAGTACATGCAAGGCTACTCTTAGCTTCAACCAGTGAGATTTATGGAGGTTGGTCATGCTTTATTTTCTACCCATCCCAACTACCCTTAGTACCCCACCCTGACGACATGACCACACTGTAGTATATAGCAGGGATCCCACAGTAGTACTACATCCTCACCCAGCAGCACCCTACCCTGAGCATGCTGTACTCCACCCTGATCACACTGTACCTTAACCTCACCCAGCAATACACCATCCTCACCCAGCAGCACCTTACCCTGACCACCCTGTACCCTACCCTGATCACACTGTACCCTACCTTGACCCAGCAATACACCATCCTCACCCAGCAGCACCTTACCCTGACCACCCTGTACCCTGCCCTGATCACACTGTACCCTAACCTGACCCAGCAATACACCATCCTCACCAAGCATCACCCTACCCTGACCATACTGCAACCTACCTTGACCCAGCAGTACTCCATCCCCATCCAACAGCATCCCACCCTGACCACATTGTACCCTACCCTGACCCAGTAGTACTTCATCCTCACCCAGCTAACCCCACCCCGAGCACAATTGTACCCCATCCTGTCCACATTGTACCCCTCCCTGTCCACATTGTACCCCACCTTAACCCATTGTTCTTTTCTTTTCCTTGTGCTTCATGGTTTCTTTACATCACCAAACAGATCCAGAAGTAAGTAGTAAACCACCTTTGATATAACATGTAATTATTTTCAGAAAAAGATTAGAACTAATTCTTCGGTATAAAAACTTCTACTTTTTATGCGTTTATGATATCTGCTGTTTTTGATAACAATACTCACATTTTAAAGACTGTAGACTGCATATCTTGCTATACTCTCCTATTTAAGCTTCCTCCCTACCCTGTTGCCCTCATGGCTGCAGTCCGCACCACACTATTGTTATATAAAAGTCCTTCAAATCAAATCAGTAAGATGGGGATGGCACATCTTTTGTGATCATCAGTCGTTCTGTCCTGCACCATGAGAAGCAACCTCTCATGAATATCTCAGGCAACCGCTGCATTGAATTTCATTTATTTAAGTTGAATTAATTTGTCTCCATAGCAACATCCGCAAAATGAGGATTACTGGGGTCATGTGAATCCTATCGGTCCAAGAGCGTGCTATGACGAAGGCAAGAGAGTTGCAGAAACTATGTGTTATGCCTATGCAAAACAGGTAACATCTGGGGTTATTACTACTTACAAAATCCTGAAGCCTGAAACCCATTTATAAATGTATGAGTGAGAAACGATACATAGAGGTTATCAATCGGCTAAGCATCTCATACGGCTGTGTATTTTTACGAGTCAATGAGTATTTTGGTGAGCCTTTAGGCAAAGGCTCCTAAAATACAAGTGACAAGTAAAAATTATTTATTATTTAAACGCTCAAACTTTTGTTCACGGTAGGAGGGTGTGGAGGTTCGAGTGGCTCGAATATTCAACACCTTTGGTCCTAGGATGCACATGAGTGATGGTGAGTTTGAGGTAGTAAGGATATTATAGTAAACTAGATATCAATCTATCAGCTGGAAGGGTAAATGTAGGATGGGGTTTGTGGGGGGAGGGGGGGGGGGCTCACATGCAATCTTGAAGCAGACTGCATGAGAGGCTAGTTAGTCGCTAGTCAGTGTAGAACAATAGTTATTCAAATTGGTTGCCATATTTCGATACGGTTTCTCATACTCATGAATATTTAATGAGGAGAAAACAAAGCAAATCACTACTGTGACGGTGGTTTGGAAATGTGTTCTTAATTTGCATTAAATTTCGTAAACTTTTTCTTTGATTTTTTCCAAGAAATATTCATGAGTATGAGAAGTAATACTTCAAACATGCGAGAGAGGTCTTCCTCTGATTTCCAAACACCTCAAAGTCAGTTAAAAAAACTCGGCTGCGCCTTGTTTTTTCAACTCACTTTTCAATGTTTGGAAATCGGAGGAAGAACTCTCTTGCGTGTTTGAAATATTACATATGAAACAGCCTCTGAGCTAATGTAAGTCAGGCCTTGGCTACCCTTGAACAACCACCAGGGCAGGGCTAACTCACAGATCAAAACCTCTGGACTGATCTAAGTCAGGGCACGGCTAACTCACAGATAGAACCCTGAAACAACCTCTGGGCTGATCTAAGTCAGGGCACGGCTAACTAACAGATCAAAACCTCTGCACTGATCTAAGTTACGTGTCATTTTGACTCAATCTGGAGTCTAGATCTTTTCTTTGGGGGTACTACTGTGGTCACCCTGGTGGTTAGAAAACATTTCTCTTTTTTTCGCAGGTCGTGTAGTTAGTAACTTTATTATGCAGGCTCTACAAGAGAAACCGCTGACCGTAAGTAAGGCGTTTCCCATCCCTACATTATTCCATTTGTTCATCCATTGACAATATATTTTTCTTGGCAGGTTTATGGCTCAGGAAAACAGACCAGATCTTTTCAATATGTCAGGTAATAGTTTTTCAGTGGTTACTTGTTTCTACAACATCAAAAAATACTCTATTTTCGCGAGTTCTCTTTTGCCTTGTTGCTCGATTTGGTGTAGAATATTCATGCATTCTAGTGAAGGTCCGTGGAATTTCAAAGTGTTTGTATTGTTGAAGTTGTGAATCATTTACTTTATCGTTGGTATTTGTAAATGTTTTGACGCTAGAACGACTGTATTCGGTACGAATTTTGCAAAAATTGTCTATAATAATGGCATTGCAAATCAATATAACCCTTGCAGCACGACGGAATCAATGCAGCTCAATTTGGAGGACAAAACAATAGGTTTCCAATTGTCAGGAGATTAAAAATCTTTGGTTTTGCCCTCCAAATTGAGCTGCTTTGACGTCACATACAAGGGGTCTATAACTTGACGTTCCTGTTAATTTATAATTGTATTTTTGCAGTGATTTGGTTAACGGTTTAATATTGCTTATGAACTCCAACTATTCCAAGCCAATCAATATCGTAAGTCAATACTATTTGTTTGCTTCTCTCTTCTTAGCTCTTTTATCTGGTCCCAGTTGTACAAATCCTGGATAGCGCTATCCGGCGGATATATCCTTGTCCAGTGGATAAGTCGATGCTGTTATCCAATAAATGTATCCACTGGATAAGATTTACCCATCGGATAGCGCTATCCAGGCTTGGTACAACCAGGCCCTGTTCTTCATTAGGTCATCATTTGAATAGACCTCGTTAGCACAGGAGCAATGTTTTCCCATTTCAGACCACTTGTCACTCTCCTGAGAATAATATTCTTTGTTTGAGTTGTATCCATATTCATGTATCTTGTGTGCATCTGTTCAACAAAGAAATGATAATCAATGGAATGACACGTGGCCTGGCTCAAAGTAAGGAGGTCTAATCTACTGCATTTCAAACTTTGTTTGTTTGTTTATTCGTTTAGGGGAACCCTGATGAACACTCAATTATGGAATTTGCTCAAATTATTAAACACGCCATTGGTAGGTTAACCATGAAAGCATTTACGTCGCTGTTGCTATGAAAACAGTTTCAAATTAAACAAATCTGACGTGTTCCAGTCGAGTAATGTCATTGGACGCTACTTGCAGTAATGGATATGAATCCGCTGAAACTAGCCAATCAAAACCTAACATCAATGTCACGTGATCTTTTCAGGAGGCAGCGCACCAATCATCAACGAGCATGAGAAGGAAGATGACCCCCAACGAAGAAAGCCTGATATTTCACGAGCTCGAAAATATTTGGGCTGGAAACCAGAGGTAAGAAAAATTCTGTCATTACACCAGGGCCATTCACAACCCTTCATACATTGGTTCACTAGTCACACACACAAGGCATTCAATCCAGGATGCGACGTTTTTATGATGACTCATCTTCTCTCCCACTTTTAGACTCACATACGACACCGAGCTCAGCGGGACTCGAACTCGGGTCGCATTGGTGGGAGGCGAGCGCTCTCACCGCTACGCCACCCGTGCTTCCCGCAATCCGCGACCCTAGTTAAGCTAAGCCTGAAGCTGATCAGAGCAGTGTTGTGTATTGCTGGTTTTCAACCATTCACAAGAGAATTAAATAACAAAAGACACGGTGGCCATGTTGGAGGATATAACATAAGAATTCATTGATAATTCTTTTGTTAAGTTCCTCCAACATGGCCGCCGTGAAAACCATCAATATTATAAATATAACACTTTTGTCCCTGACTCCCTCTAAAACGATTTCTTTCTTCAGGTTCCTCTGCCAATTGGAATCAATAGGACGATCGAATACTTTAAAAGAGAGCTTAGAAAATCCAAAAAATCCAAATTAACTGATTTATAGAAAATTCAGTGATATGATAAATAGAGGATATTACATGGGCGTGCGGAGATACGAAATTTATCTTCGAGTGTTGAAAAGATCTCTCACGAGTGAGCGCAGGGAATGAGCCGGTGAGAGATTTTCAACACGAGAAGATAAATTGCGTATCTCCAAGCGCCCATGTAATATTCTGTTTATTATATAATTATCAATGAAGTATGTTTTGGCTTTTTCAGACAATTCTTTCCGTGTATTTTGAATAGCCATCGCAATGGTGTTATTTTCACACGTGAAAATAACATGTTATTTTCACACGTGAAAATAACATGTTATTTTCACATGTGAAGATATCAATTTTTCGAAATAGAGAAAAATAGATATTTCATTGGTAATTATATAATAAAGCCATTTATCTAATGTATTCCAAAAACTATAAAAATGCATATTTTAACACATCAAACATTCACCAACATTGAAGTTAAATTTTTTTAAAAAATAGCTAGAGCAACATCATAACGTTATTATACTATATATTGGATTGGTTATCATTCATGGTCCCCCCCCTTAGATAATAGCGAACCAATCACCGTTGCAGCAGTTTTCCCAGTGGAATTAAAATCTTGTCTCCCAAACAACTACACAGTATCTATTTTAAAGAGTACTACAAGGATGACGAGACAATTTTCAGTTCATTTTCGCAGGGCAGTAGACTATTGAAACAATTTATAATCCATTTTCCGAGATCAGAGTTTTAAATTCTGAGATATTCTAGATAATTTGGGACATAGCAACGTTAACTTAAAAAAACTTGTCGTCGCTAATCACCTCCGCAAATAGTACAGCAGTGGGGCAACTCAACGGGGTCGAACTGAAAGCATGTGAAGGTGCCTCTGGCAGTCGCTATACAGTCCATGTAACTAAGGGGAGCAGAACCAAGAATTGATAAGCGGGGCTGGTGCGAAACGAGATATAAATTTTACTGAAGACCCATCAATAAGTGACCAAACCCTTATATGCGTATGCATAAAAAAACGGTTTTGATTGACTAGATTCAGCGGATTTATATGATAGTGATGTTAGGTTTTGATTGGCTAGATTCAGTGGATTTATATGATAGTGACGGTTTACGCTCGTGACGTATTTCCGGTAAAAGGAAAAACGGCATCAAAAGTGTTAGTATAGGAAATCGCACAATCTTCTCGTACAATTCGGAATTTATAGGTACGAGTGATGTTTTGAAAGTTTTCAAATTGGAGTTCAATTTGAGAACTTTCAAAACATCACGAGTATCTATAAATTCCGAATTGTACGAGAAGATTGTGCGATTTTTTGTTTATAATACGCTCAACAAAATTGTGCAACTCAATTGGGACTCTACAGAGTACAATTTAGGATATAATCGTACTCAGTCCTCTTGTCCAATCAGAATCGAGTAATTTTGTTGAGTGTATTACAATACCAATAATTATTTTACTAATAGCTTACTGCTATATATATATCTTTGAATCATATATATCTTTGAATGGTACATACTCTATAATTCTATTTATGCAGAATTTACTAGAGTGCATACCATATATTCGTGAATAGGTTAAATGACAAAATTGAACAAATTAGTTCTACGCTTTGCAAATCTACGGTCTACTGAGGCCTACTAAACTTACTATTTTAAAATGTGTGCAATTTCTAACAAGTTTTTCACTGTTATATGGTATGCACTCTATACCGTTGTAAAAGAAATTGAAGAGTTTTTAACCGTTATTTAAAATAGCAAACATTGCAAATTATCTAATTAAAGGCTTGTTCAGTTTAGTAAAAAAAGGGCAAAGTCTTCTGTAGTTATAGCATAGCAATTAACCTGGGTAGCTTTGACATGACGATTCCTTAATAACATGCATTATGAGGCACCTTTAGTAATCTGATGACGTTTAGAACACTTGTAGTGATGGCACGATTTCGTAAACGAAGCAGAAGTGACGATCTTATGAGAAGCACTAGTATGGATTATCACAAGACTGGAAAGAAACAAGAGGACAGCTTTTAGGTAGGTTTCTCTGATTGGGTATTCAGATCACTAGTAATCTCCCCCCACACTCTGATTGGGTATCCAGATCACTAGCAATCATCCCCTGCATTCTGATTGGGTATTCAGATCACTAGCAATCATCCCCTGCATTCTGATTGGGTATTCAGATCACTAGTGATTTTCCCCTGGACTCTGATATTATCGAATATTTTAATAGAATGCTGCGCTTGGAATAGTTGGTATAAATATTTATCAAACAGTAACTTTAAAGCCACTCTGAAAATCATCAATATTTTTTCTGGCATCAAGCACACAGGGATCCCAACCATCAAGATTATTGTCATTTTGAAACTCAAGTCATTGAATATTGCTACCAAAAGACAAATCAATAGACAGATACATAACAGATAAAACAATTATTTATGATTATCGATGATACGAAAGATTACAAGAAATACTCTATCAGTACATATCTAATGTGTCTTTTGCAAAAGTCATATCAAACAGACTTTTGTGTCTGATGCTCAATCATTAGTTGATGATGGAGCAAAAATATAGAAAACCTTAGGTGGACAGTTGGTGTGTCATTAGCTATTTACATGTAGTAGTTGTAATAAGAATTTCTAAGTGCCACCTTGGTTAACTTTGTAATGAAACACATTTTGATGATTCTCTTGAAAATGTAGGAGAGTCTTAACTTCAATTAATCCAGTTAAAAAATATGAATTATTGCAGGGCTTAAAGTTATGGCTGAACATTAGACAATGTCCGGCCAGAACTGGGACTTGTCTGGTCAAATCTTTGCCTTGCTGGTCATTTTGACTAGTAACGTTGACCCAGAAATGAGGTATGACAAAAACTAATTTGGCTTGTCATCTTGACCGGCAACTGATCAGCAATTATCTCAAGCCCTGCGGTGATGGATGGCAGTTTTCTATCGTTTTTGCAATGAGTATAGTAAGAAAATATACAATAGCCTGATAGAATAATCAACATGTTATCATGTATCTGATATCTGTTATCTCTGCAGGACTCTTCCTTGTCTGTGCTTTAGTTTCATGTGGTGATTGAAGGAAAGAGGTTTTAAACATTAAACATAAGAATATCCTGCAATCCTGCAGAGGGGGCTTACAAATGATCTCTACTTTACAAATGATTTTTCTGTGTTTGGGTCTATTCTAGATAGCCATATATTTGTAGTGCTCTGATTAAAAAAGTGATGAGCAGTCTTTATTTCAGTCTAGTAATGATTCTAGCCTTGATTTGTAATGACATGGAGGTGACTTGACCACCAAGATTGCTACAATCTGAAATACACACAGAAAAAAACGTATATCAAAACTGAACAACAGATTTCATCCCTGCATCAGATGTTTGTGTAGTTACTCCTTATCTGATTTTAAAAAACAACTAAGAACAAATCGAGGATGCAGGCCTTGAAACACAACCTCAGGGAAGTAAGATTACAGTATGATTTACTGACAAGATGTATTTGTTGTGTTATATTTGAGTGTTATTTATTGTTTGTTTCAGCTGAATCCTTCTACTCTAGTTTTCAGGGATTGCTGAGCACGTTTTAAAGTGAAGGAGGGGGCACTTCTTTCTGTTTCAATCAAACTAAGACAAAATGATGTGTCATTTCTATAAAAAAGCCCTCCTGGCTCTGCCATACCTGCACAGCAGCCTACTACTAACCTTGTGGTTCTTTCAACAATTTTCTGCACTATTCTGTCATTAATACCTGGCACCTTCTCTTCAGCTGCGTTCAAAGCTTCTTGTATATCATTTAATACATTCCCTTGTGAACCATATTTTGAAGCAAGCTGTAACATGAGAAAATGAAAAACATCTTAGCATACATGAATTACGACATAAGGCAAATCATGGGATGTTACTCATATCTAAAAGTATCTTTCCTCTATGATATTGAACGACATCATTTTTATGACACCCTGTAACAGCTTTATTGCAGTCATTTTCTCACACAGCTTTGAAGGAAGAAATGATTACTTTTCATGAGTGTAAGAGCAAATGACAAGACAAAATGACACAGTCAACATAGTCAAAAATTGATGATGTCCTGAAGCAGCCAATAAAAAGAGTAGAGACGTGACATCACAGTCACAGCATCAAACATGAATATACTTGCTTAAATATGCAATGCACAATGTGTTGCTTAAATGGTTTAATTGTGTTGCAAGTGTGAGCTAGATGGATCATATAGAAAGAACAAACCTCCGATAAAACTGGTGCGAAAACATTATTTAAACATCTAGAGACAGGACGCTTTGCTTTTGCAGGTTCCTAAGATAACAAAAACACCAATTACTTGTTAGTATGATACATGTACATGTAAATTCCATTTACTGTTCTCGTAAACAATATTTAGACATTCACATACTAATAAGTTATGATTTGATTATAATATACAAACCAAAGTAAATGGCTAGACCAGGTGGCTACATGTAGGTATTAGATCCCTTTATAAATAAGTATACTTTACGACCAACTAATTCTTCTGTGAGATTTGCTCCACACACACTACCACTACATTCATAATTTACAACACAAAACTCATGTCGCGTGTTGATTTTTATGGAGGGAGGGAAAACCAGAGAACCTGGAGGAAAGCCATCCAACGAAAGTTTCTAACTCAAAAGTGGCTCAGAAAATAAAAAGATGCTTTAAGTCACCTAAGCATGTGTGTAGTACAAATGTTGCTTGTGATTACTTACAGCCTGCTTTGAATCTTTTGATACTACTTCTCCATTTTCATCACTTTCATTGGGTTTTACCCTTATCGTAGAGAATATCCAATCATCAGAATCATCTTTATCTCTAAATCATATCAGAGTAACAAATTAGCAAGGATGTCTAGAACTGCCCATTTATTCTTTCCAAAAGAGAACAAGGTTTCAAGGTGATATTATAGATTTTTTTTGGATAAACTGCTTGCCATGTGTCATTCCCTTGAGAAAATGATTCTTTGTTTATATTCATGTGTCTTCGCATTCACAACCATTAAACAAAGAAATGATACTCTAGGTAATGACATGTCGTCTGAAATGGGAAAACATTACACCAAAGGTAGAGGGTCCATTTGGGGTGGCACAACAAGCTTCTCAATACCACTAAGACCACTCCCCATGCATTAAAAAAATACAACCAAATTAAAATAAAAATGACAATTATGTAGGGACATACCCATCACTGTCGTCCCCTGAACTGCTATCATCTTCATCACCGTGGTTTTGTTTCCATCTTTTATATCGTTCTATTAATTCAACCAAATAACTATTCTTTTTTGCAGTTCTAATGAATCTATGTTTTAGAAGCTCTTTTGCAGTTGGTCTCTGAAAAGCAATATGCACACAAGTTATTTTAGTGTTTAAAGAAAAACATATAATAATAATAATAATTTATTGACTTATATTGCGCTGCTTCAATAAAATTATCAGCAGCGCATTACAATATATATGATATAAAATAAATCNATAATATAAATAAATATTGTAATCACAATCAAAATTATATATAATAATAATATATATATATATACACATATACACACACACTCATATATATACATACATATATAATAATATTAGGAACTAATCTAAATGAAATACCAATAAAAATCATAAAAATATAACTATATACATAAAATAATATCATGTCCCAACTTTGTGGATGCTCTCTGGATTACATAATATATTTCAAATCACCTAATTGTATGCCAGGCTAAAAARCAAAGTTTTCAAATGACGCTTAAATGTGTTAATATCAGTTATTGCGCGCAATTCAAATGGAAGGTCATTCCAAAGTGCAGGCGCAGCTGCAACAAACAATATACCAGTATAACAACAGAATACTAACCAAAAAAAAACAGTTTAAATATACATGTGTAGAATAAATATGGTCAAAACTCTATCACATAATCTAAAGAAATGCCAGCTACATGCCAACTACATTGTAACACCTGAGCTAAAACATAATGGCTGGTCACAATGGCTGGCCACATTGGACTTATCAACATGTGACCATGCAGTCAATGTGACTGGTCAAGAGGAGTGGCCTAAGAGTTGTTTGGCTGGACAAGTGCTGGTTTTGGCCAGACATTGTCTGTTGACCAGGCATAATCTTAAGCTCGAAATGCAAATCCCTCTTGTCTCCAGCTGTCTCCACATCTCTCCCCAAGAAAAATATAGAAAAACATACCAGCTTTGAATCATACCCTCCACAAACATTAGAAATTCAAATCCCCTAGGGGCGATGAATATGAAAAAAAGGTGGCTTCAAGCTCAACCATTTCTACTCACATCATTTGGATCTTTATTTAGACACAATGAGACAAACTCTTTGAATGCTTTGCTGAAGTTGCCAGTGAGTTCAGGAGGATTGTTTTTGGGGATCAAGAAGAGTACTCTCATTGGATGAAGGTCTGAGTTGGGTGGCTCTCCTTTAGCCAACTCTATAGCAGTGATTCCAAGGGACCAAATATCTGCCTACAATATAATATGCATGAATATATTTATTTTATCATCACTTTTTTTGTACTTACTCTAAATGAATGTCATAATCATTAAAAAGGGCAATCATGAGGCTGTTGGCAATGATGATAAAGCAGAAAATCATTATTATAGATCATTAGTGTGCTAGATTTTGCAGAGGGAGGAAATAACTGAAAAACCCCGAAAAAAAACCTAACAAAGCTAACAAACTCTACTCATAAAAATAAATAAATTAAATTTTTTTAAATGTGATGTTGAGACTGCAAATCAAACGAGAGACCCGACTGGTGAGAGGTGAGTGAACTATCACTACCCCACCCTTGATGATCATAATATCAGATGATATTCAGAGTACATTTTAGGATTGTTTAGTAGTGAATGATAATGCATAGAGCTTTACCTTGGAATCATAAGCAGATTGCTTTATGACTTCTGGTGCCATCCAGAATGGTGTGCCTACGAATGTATTTCTCTTGTTTAAGGTGTCTGTCAGTTGACCAGCAACACCAAAGTCAGCAAGTTTCACATCTCCTGTTTCAGACATTAGGACATTGGCAGCTGGAAAAAAATACACAAAATAAAAGAACATTTAATGAAAAGACAATATTAACATTTAAAAAAAAGAAAACACAGCTCAATAATCACTACATCAGCAAATATAGGTGTATATGTCTAACAATGTGTTTTCCTGATATTTCATAGGAAATTGTCCAAAAACTCTGTTTCCAGACAAGGACAAAACCAGTGCACTGGTTTATGATATATCTAAGAAATAACCCAATAGATCTTTTCCTAGATACAGTTCAGTGCTCAAGGAATCTAAATTTACTTGCCCGTAGTTTTTTTCTTATTGGACTACTGAACAATGAGAGATTCAAAGGTGCTGATCAAATCTTTGCCAAGCCGGTCATTTCAATTAGTAACCTTTAGCCAGAGTTGAGGTATAACTAAGCTAAAACTAATTTGACCTGTGATAGTGACTGGGGACTGATCCACCATTATTTTAAGCCCTGAGATGATGATTACCTTTGATGTCTCTGTGTAGCTTTTTCTCAGAGTGTAGATATTCCAGGCCTTTTAAAACCTCTCTTAGGATGGTAGCAATATAGAACTCTTCTATGGTACCAGCTTTCATCTAAAAAATATATTGGGATGTATTTAATCAAGGAAGTCCAGGATAAATGTTTAAAAAAAAATTTCTTTTGAAGATTACAATGTAATTCTGGAAAGAGGATGTTCAAATCAGTAAAACTGCAAAGAATCAAAGAAAACCTTTTCGAACTCATGTTATCTAGTTCAATGCATTGATAATTTCCTATAAATAAGGTATTATTCTGGCTATTGGTGTCTTTTTTTTGTATACACCCTGACCAAGACACAAACATTCAATAAACAGTACATGTATATTACTTACGAGATCCAGGGCAGACCCACCACCCAAATATTCCATTATAATCCATAACTTGGTTCTCTATAAACAACAACAACAAAAACTAGATTAGCAAAATGTGAATATGGTTCTACAGTAATCTATATACTTGAAACAAATCAGCTTTAGGAGATCTTACTATCATTACAGCATACAGAGGCCTAGCCAGGCTTTTCCCAAAGTGGTTAATACAACATATATACACACACAAATAAGACTATATTATACTATATTTCCATTATAAAATACAATGAACACTAACTGGCCTAATTTCTATACTACGGGGTAAAGCTGAGTATTGCACATGGAGACTAAAATCTTTTAAAATGTTTTTTTTCATTTTGCAGACTTCACTAGAGTTTGCGCTATTACAAAACCACATTCAAGAGAAGTTCTACAAACAAATAGCTGGAACATATTGCTTGATTGCTTAGCACAAGTGCTTCATTAACATCATCTAATAACATATGCCATTGTGAAAAATATTGGCTGACATACAATACATACTACTGCATAAAGTATTGAGCATGGTTGTTCAGAATACACTTAAGGCTAATTTAGAACAATTCTGATTGGCTTAGAAGTTATTTTAGGGTTTAAAAAAAATTAAATTTATAACAATGAATATGAATTCATAAACTTCCTCATTCAGTACTAGACCTGATATTGCACCTAATTTCTTTACAACATACATAATCATATTAGGATTTTGAATTCTAAACTTTTAGATAGGATGTGTTAGAATATTCTACAACTTTTAAGAGAGAGAGAAGACTTTGGACATTTAATTGTCTATTAGCTGCAAAAATTCGGTTTGCACTCAACATTTTTTGCCATTATTTAGGATTAAGTAACTCAATAAATAATAATTGGATGGTGGGGTGATTCTAAAATCAATATAGCATATCTTTTACGTAGTCATTTTCGTCAATCATACTATTTAGTCACTGCAAGTCAGTAAAAGTTTCCAAAACTATTTGTGTGGGAGGGATCTGTCATGTTTAATTATAACCCTTCTTATTCTTTCCATATAAATAATATATCGGAATAGCAATATATGCCTTAGCATGACCAACCACTGCAAAGAAAACATCGCGAGAGGGCATTACCTTGAGTTTCAAACAATGTCAACATACATCCATGACGACAAAGCTGTACACACACCAGCAGGAAATACAACTACTTTCTCAAAGAAATCCCTAGGATTTTACAAATCGTGCAATACAAGTTGTCGAATTGTTTGTCTTATTCCTCGACTACGATTATCTCGATCGACGACATAAACTTTTGTTCAATCGTAGTTTAATTAATGACCAAAATATCGCAAGGAGATCGAGAGAACTTCTGATCTTTAAATTCAAAAATAAAATGCCCATCCCTTCAAAGAATATATAAGTGTTCGATCTAAAAGTTGTCGACTACAAAACACCGCAGTATCAGATATCAAAGTTTTGAAAAAGGTTTCGATCTTTTGATTGTCATCAATGAGATTTTTCACCGATTTTCGGCATAAAGTCAAATCTACAGCACAACTCGATGTAAATATACACGATGTTTGCCCAACCCATAGGGCATACACACGAGAGAGGTAGGTAGGTAGGCTATATACGTCGTATTTAAACGAAAATTTTCAGAGCAAAAATATGAAGTTCGAAGACCTTCTACTAGAGACCAGAGGTTACCTTGATGAACACTTTGATAAAATATAAATGGAAAGGATTTGGTATGATTTCAGGTCGAAACGATCGTGAATAAGAGTGGTAGAAGAAGTATATATACTTACTTTTAAGTACGAGCCATGATATTTGGTTACGAAAGGACTATCACACTGAGACAAGACAGTAATTTCTTGTTGGATATCTTCAATTTCGTCTTCAGCTTCCTCCAAGTCTATTATTTTTATCGCCACCACTGCGTTCGTTTGGTTATCGATGCTAAATCAAAAAGCCTCATATTAGAACGTAATCATTAGCTATTAGAACTTACACAATACAGTCCTGTTAAAGCATGAGAAAGTGAAATAAAAACATGTTAAACTGTCTTTACCCCTTGAAAACTTCACCAAAAGATCCCTTGCCAATGCGATCAAGCTTTGAGAAGAGCTTCTCTGGATCAGCTTTCATGCCCTGAAAAAATAATTACAACAAACCCAGTCAACCCATTACATCCTGAATGTCATTTGAAAGACTTATTTAAGTCGAAAAAGTATAAGTCTTGACGTGAAAACCTTGGAATTTTCAAATAGAGTTCGTATATTTAGAGTGAAACTCGACAACAACAGAAGGTTATGAAGGTAGGGCTAAAACGGCGAGCTTTTTCACACTTTAAACACAAGAACAGTGAATGGTTTAGTAAAGATAACATACAGGAAGATAAAATACTTTAAGAGCATTTCTAGGCACAACATACCAAGTTGTTTGCTGCCATTCAGTAACAAAAACATTCGCAACCGGAACAAGACAACATCGACTCCAGAAACGTAAATTGTTGACTCCTGAAGACTTTGAGACGCCTTCAACAGCTTCTAGCTGCGCCAAACTCAAGTAGAAGTTGAACCATTATTCCATAATCATTAAGATGTCTCCTAAAGGCGAATATAATTAGAAGAAAGTCTATATTTTGAAGACGATTTTACTGTATAAAACTCGAGGAAACAAAATGTTGTACCGCCATGACATCGAAACGCGCTGCATTAGTGTACTCCATATATGGACATAACGCATCACTTGGGTGCGGCCACAGGCTGTGAGCACCTAGTTAGGTGTCTGGGATCCCTGTGGTAACGATTTTCATTCAATAAATTAAACCAAAACACAAAGAATACAATAACAAAATATCTAAGATCGTTATTGTATGTTTTTTTAAAATCATGTTTTTTGACGTAGATAATGATAAAATTGGAAACGTTTACGAAAGTTTACCATAAACAACAGGAAGCCCAGTCGGTACGTTTTTCATTTTTTTTGCTCTAGTCGATCGAGAGTATATTTAAGAGGTTCTGAAGAGGTAAATGGGAGCTGAGATTCGCCTTGTTTGTGCTGGGAAAAWGGGATTTTATGCACTTGGAATGGGATTMAAAAAAAAAAAAAAAAAAAACAATCGAAAAATTGGAGAATGTGATTGAGATTTGAACATGACATACTAGTAGACTATGAGATTTGGACAAATTGGGGACTGGGAAATGGGATTAGGACCCTAACTTCAGGTCTCTGATGTAAGAGACGGAGCCTTAGTATAACTTGCTTGTAATAGATAGAAAGACCACCTTTAGTAACTTACAAAGATTGTCGAAGATCAGGTATTATATCGGCGGAGAAAAATTAAGTTGAAAATTGACAAAAAAACTAGAAGTTTCCAGTGACTGGGGGCCACTCAGAACCCCAGTCATAGAAATCTGTAAATTTGTCAATTTTCAACTGAGGCTTACTCTGCGCGGCCGATATAACACCTGATACCGCGAAACTCTGTCTGGTAAGATAACAAAAGTAAAGGTGCTCTTTCCAACGCTGGTTTAGGTTTTGACCAGACACACGTACAGGTACGTCATTTAAATTTGCGGGGGCCTACTTTGGAGAATGGTCTGTTTGACTAGCATATTCTTCTCTTACGTTTTACCTTTTTATCAAAAGATCCTTACCTGTAACTCAGCTTATGTAAAAATGAGTCTAAAGAATGACTGACTTTTTTGACGGGATCAGTATCACGACCTTCTCTCATGCAGTTGTGTAAATTGTGAAAGGCGTGGACGCCGTTGCCATTATATGTACATAATCTCAGTTTCAGCCAATCAGAGTGGTGGATGTAAGGGGTGTAAAGGGGGGCTGTCCCCTTGTGAATCCAAGGACATTATTTAAGCACAAACTGAGACGCAATTTAAATTAACTGCTGGGAATTAATTCGTTGGGTTGAATAATGTCCTAAGTGGGAACTGGTTAATAATCATTTGTTAGATATTTGCAGTTGCCGAACCAAGGATGCTTTGTCTTTCATTTTTAATTAGTCAGTGTTCAATGATATTTTCCTCTCTTCCCGCTCTTTTCAAGATTCAAGATCCGTCACTGCTTCGGCTTCCGTTCAGAAAAATAAAACATAGCGTCAGCTCAAAAATCCACAGAGTTGGTTCCAGCCGTTACAGACGTTACAGATCTCAGAGAAACCTACTTCGCAAAATGCTAAAGGATATCTTGCAAATTATTGACTTTTTATTATTAATTAAAGTCTTGAGCTCGAAATTTTAAGAAACTGTAAGAAAAGCGACGGAAATGAAAAGTTTTCCAATTTCCTTAGCTACTATATTGCATACCATATATCCGTGAAAAAACAAAACAGTTAGAAATTGCACGAATTAGTAAGTTCGGTAGACCGCATACTTACAAAACGTTGTAATAATTCAGTACCATTTTGTAAGTTAACTTTTCCAGTCACGGATATATGGTATGCACTCCATCGGGGTCATTAGTTAGACCAGACAATAGCCCCTTCTTTTGGCTTTTCGCTCTTACTTAGATGGGCTACCTTTAACGGTCAAAGGAGAGATCAAAATCTTAACTAGGTTATATAATGGAAGCATGCACATGCAATATTTTTTCGTCCTACACGCATGCATTTACTACTAATCATGTATAAACATTGCCGGCTAGAGCTTTCTGGGGCTATAGACCTTTTGCAGATTCGATTGAGTGACCACGAAACAATGACTCCATGTCGAGGTTGGACTTAATGTGTTTATACATTTACTGTATTTTGTTATATCCAACTTCGATTTAGAACCATAGTATTGGGTCACCTGAGCGAATTTGCGAAAGGTCTGTATTTATGCTTCTGTCCGTGCAATGGGAGCCCACGCTTAGCTTTCATACTCGGTGAGTCCGAAACGCCCGCCAATATGTAAGATAAGTGAGAAATAAATAACGAATGCATTTCCCTTTAACGACAGAAAGAAAAGCATGAAATCCCAGTGGTCCAGTTAAGGGGAACGAAAATAAATCATGATCAAATGAAATATCTTAAAGCAACTTTACGATATCTCCACTCAAAACGACAGAAGAGTGGCTCAAAATTAAATACGTAAAGGCTGGAACTGAATTGTCTTAGCAGGCGAAATATACAACAGCCTAATAAAGTGAATATTCTTCGAAACTATAGAGTGGTTTTCGTATGGATGGGGAACGTACGGTACTGACGTTTGGCGGGTATACGATACGACACTGATTAACGTAATACTGAAATGGCTCCCCATTGCATTCGAGTAATTCATCCAATTACAACGCTTAGTTACGTCTACGGTTAAAAACGGTATAGTTGATAGTACAGCTACTGCGAATTTACCGCATTGTTTTCCACTCACCCATACGAAAGTCGCGCTATTGATATAGCTGGTTATAGATTACACAAGCTTCTCATAGTTCCTCACGGCTTTCTTACTTGTGATAGTAAGTCGGGTGGCGAAGGTTGAAGCAAATAGAACTAACTTGAACAGTATATAACAAATCCTTTGATAAATACCGTATTATTATATCATTATAGTACTGGCTATTGATTCTCAAACATGCTCATATGGGCCATCATGTTCATGACGTCACTGACATTCCGCCTTCCGGATACATTATTTTCTTGATAAGGTCCTCCTCCTCGTCCTTGATATTTCTGTCGGTTTTGTAACCGATGTATTTGTTGTTGTTGTTGTTGTTGTTGATAATGGTCAGGTGGCTGTTGCCATGCCAACGGAGGTGGTGGGGCGAACGATGGATGAGGAGCATTAGCAGAGCCCGAATATACCTTTGGGGTTGTGTTTGGAATACGCGATACACCTCGGCCCTTGCTTGCGTAGTTTAATACAGACCCTGAAACAGGAGCCTTGCTCGTCGGTCTTGCAGCGCCTCCTGGATATCCTATGGAGAAGAACAGACAAGATTAAAATACTTGCTGAACTGTTATTTCTTTAGAATTTCGGTTTGTTTCTTTTTTTTTTTTTTTTTTTTTTTTTTTTTTTGTTTTTTTTTTTTTTTTTTTTGTTGCTGCGACATACTTGGTTGATTTTAGCTAATCCACGGATCTTAGTCTGTCTTCTTCAGGATGCTTATTTTACAACCGATGAAGGAGAAATGCTAGTCGTAAAGTCAATGGAGGGAATAACAGAGGTGCAGAATACTGCCAATAACTATATGGCGCTTTCTCGAGAAAATTTATAAATTAAATTTCGTTTAAGAAAACCAAAAAAGTACAATTTTTTGTTCGCAAGTTGTAACGTCATCCCGGCCATGTTGGAGGCTTTTAACAAGAAACTTCTAATTAGCTTCAGGTTGTTGATAACACCAACATGGCCACCATGTCTTTGTCAGTAATAATCTAGATGGTTGACAAACCTGGTTCGCTACCGCTGTATCCAACTGAATGAGCTGCAGCCATGTTTGGCTGACGAACAAACTGACTGGAAGGTACACCTCTTCCTCTGCCTCTACCACGTCCAAACGGCGCGCTGCTGCCACCACCACCTCCTGGAATGCTTGGTCGTTGAGGGTAATTATACTGAGGTAGTTGACTTGGAGGATTAATAGCTGTCCCATTTCTATAGGACTGAATATCATCTGATTCGTAGGTAGGGCCGAATCTGTGGAATGATTCCATGGTATTCCCAGAACCACCATCTATATATATGACCAGACAAATAGTATTGGTTTAAAATGTGTAAATAATTAAACAAACTATAATAATGTAGTGAATCAAAAGGTTGCAATCAAAACTTCAGGATCAGTCTGACATTTTTAAAAATAGACCCTTGAATGTGACATCAAAGCAGCTCTTTTTGGAAGGCGAAACAAGAGAATTTCAATCTCCTGTGAATTGGAAAACTATTGTTATGTCCTCCAAATTGAGCAGTATGTGGCCGATGTACGAGAAAACGCTCGACAAAGTGAGCATACTCAAGCTTTAAGAATAAACTTTCTTACCCATTTGTGGCCTATCTGTTCTGTTGTATGATGCATACAAGTTGGTTTCATCATCATCATCGTCATTATTATTATTATTATTTCTGCTACCATTTACTGTGTTATTCTCTTGGCCACTTAATACTGTGCAGAAAGAACCCTCTGGTCTCTCAGGCACGTGATTTACAGATAGAGGTACATTATAATGGGGGCAAAGAAAGTCTGCCATACAGTAACTGTAAACAAAAGCAAAAACCTTTGTTTTAATACAGTATATTTTAATACATCATCCATTTTATCAAACCCTAACCACCAATTTCATTACTAAGCCCCAGTCTTGGATTTTGAAGACATTTTTTTAACTTCAAAGAAGGCTACTGCCATGTTCGGTATGTTTGATATTTATGATTGACAGAAACTAAACTATGGGTCTCACTTTTCACCAACGTGATTTGGATTAAAATTCTGTCACATTTTCTCCCTTGCAATAAGAAATGAATTTCCTCCCATAATAGAAAAATACAAGTTGAAATGTGTCTTGCAAACTGTGAACATAGTATGGAGTAAGTACATGTATAAAGGCAAGAAAAACTAGGGAAAAACCATGCTTTAACAATAATATCTTAACAAGGAACTTTTCTCTTCTACCAGGTATGTTGTCTGGAACAACAGACTTTCACTTGTCTAACACATCTCAAATGAAAGCACATTAGGTTAGGGACCTTACCAGGGCATAAACGAAGGATATAATTGTCAAGGAATCAAGGAAACAAACACTACCAGCAGTGTGGAAGTCCCATAAATAAAGTGCTAGAATATATTTGCATGGGTTTCCTGTGGATTTTATGACACACGAGCTGGTACCTGTATCTTTTGACAGTTCCTAGTGCACAATACTTCACTTCCTGTTCATCATGCCACTCACATCTATTGAAAACATAAGAAATAATTAGATGTGAAAAACCGGTAAATATTTTTGCCCTGTACAAGAGAGACTAGAGTAAAAATCTCCAGGAAAATCTGGGAAAAGGGTTGAAATATAATGGGACTCACTAATAAACCAAGGTTTACTATGACGGAATTTTAAAATAGCCTTACTTCCAAACAAACTGATTTTTGTTATATACCAACACTATCAAAGTCCATTTTTCTCGTACTCTGATTGGACGAAAGGATATCACGTTAACATGAACTAGTTTTGATGTTTCCCTGCCGATGGCTTTCAGACGGCAACAATATGTTATTGACCAGTAATGACAATACCAGGATTGATTTCCCCAGAAATGTACACTTTTCTATGTTTTTTGAAATCAAATAATCAAAAAATCAAATAACTGCCTTTTTTTCTTTGACACTTGGTATATAACAAAACACTTATTCACTTGAACCTTGGGAAAGCAGTGTGTTTTGTGGTCCTGAGACGGTAATATTTCCCTTGGATTCCCATTGTGAAAACATCGCCATTTCAGGATCACAAAACACACCATTTCCCTCGGTCCCAGTCATCAATAAGTATTAAATATTAAACCTGATATTATGGACTCTCATCAGGGCATATCCTGGAAATCCCATTGTGAATATGTTAGGGAGGGGGAGGGGAGAGAGAAAGAGGGAGAAAAACTGGTGGAGGCTGAGCCAGTCTTGAGTATGTTAGGGGAGGGGAGGGTAACCTCAAATTACTGTTTTGAAGGTTTTGAAAGTTATGTAACCTGAATGGGTACAAATAATTGCTACTTACTGGGTATTTTGGCATCATATTCTCCCAAAAAATAATGATATATTTGGTAATAAAAATGGCATCACTGTTATAACAGGGGCTAAGTTTACCTTGCACCTGGTTCATAGTCAAAGACTGTGGTAGATATAAGATCAGTAGCTTGAGCCTTGGATATCGACTGCCCTTCTGTTGCAATATGGCTATGCAAATCAGTAATTAATCCCTCTAGTTCATAAACCTTTTTCAGTCTGTTTGGCATTTCTGCAAATAAAGTTGAAACACAGCTATTAATTGTACTGGCCACAGCTAAAATGGGTTAATAGTATTTGATCCATTGGAAGAACAAAAGGTAATAATTATGTTAATAATCATACCTGCATTTCTTGCTAAACAGTCAAGACAGGCCTCTGTTAGTTTGGTTTCTGATGCCTAAGACACAGGAAAACAAAACAGAACATGGATAAATGAATTAACTGATCAAAATTTGACCTATCAAACTCTGAATTGCCTTCAAACTTCATTGTACAGTCTTTTTGTGGACTCTTGAAGATATTAGCTTTAGTGACACAATTTAGTGACTTTCGAAATTTGAGTATAAACAATGTTGAAGGCAATTAATAAGTTTTTACCATGGTTTTCCATATTCTGCGAACTAAGACATTCCAATGGCTTGTTGTGAAATTGGTTTTTCTCTGCTGCCAGTCAAGAACATAAAAGGTACTGACTGATCATTTTTGATTGACTGTAGAGAAAAATCTAATTTCAGCACGCTGCCAGCTTGTGACTGCAGAATTCACAGGATATCGATAATCATGGTATTACAGTACTTATCACACAAATCTAAAATAACCTACCCTGCTATATACTGGTGGAAAAACTGAATGTCCATCAGGATTTACAAATCTCAAGAGGTCCCATAATATTCTTTGGTGGGTATCTTCATCTCTCACAAGACCTTCTATAGGAATCTTGTGAGTTTTCTCACCTAAAAAGTACAGTGTTTCACTTGTTATTAATATTATGGCTTGAACGGAAAATAGTTTCCAAGTAGCTCTCTTTTGCCTGTGTCATATATTTGAAGTCATAAAAGCCATAATATCTAGGCCGAGAGCAAAGTGTTCCCCTATCAGGACCTACTTTAGGCCCATAAATAACCATTTTTTACCTGTTTACTTTATCACTTGTTTTGCAATTTGTTTTGTTGTTTAACAATCTGTTTTCTCACGTGTGCACTTGGATAACATGACAGTGAGCCTCACGTCAGGATATAACCGGACGATGGGCTGAGAAAGAAAATGTCACTCCCTTATGCAGCCAATCACAACACATGATTCTTAGGATATAGTATATAAAATATGTATGTATAGATATATAGATCTATTGAATCTTATTATGATCGTATTCAAGGTTGAAACTGAGTCATTCCATTACTTACTAGTACTCATGCATTCATATCTGTATCCAAGTGGTATTTCCCCTGTTAAAATACATAAAGTCATTACAGACCTTTATTACTGACATTTAATTTTATTGAGTAAATACTAGTACCATGATCTTAATATATGCTAAATGTATGCTTTGCTTCTTGCTATTCAATTCTACATTAAACAGTTGCCAACCTGGTTATAAAAGAGTATTATACACCAAATTGAAATGTGGCAACCAATTAGAATCCCTAATGCCTCTCTTACAGTACATGTGAAAATGCTTTTATGTTTCTACGTGAACACAAGCCTAGTCAGTCCATAACAGTAGTTATTCACATTGGTCATCACATTTCAATTCGGTGTATGGCAACAATTCCATATTGCTTGAAGTGAGCCTTGTTGCTAATCTTTGTCTTGGAAACAATTGCAACTACCCTGCAATAAATATCTGAAAATGTGAATGTGAATTTGACAAAAAAAAAAAAATACACAAGCATTACCTGGATGAATGAATCTGTGCATGGTGTTGATAATACCCCTGTTGATAGAGAATTCCGCCACCCCCAGCTCACAAGGTAGCTGTAGGTCATCAGAAGATGCTGGACACAAAGACATAAAGCCAATGAAGAAGAACCTCTCATCACAGACCACTGAAAATTAAACACAATATTAAACACATGAGCTCTCATGAACTTTCATTGCTTAGTGAGTATACTGAATGAGTTTGAATTATACTGTTTTAACTATGTTTTATTGATGAGCTGATTACTGAGACAAAAGTTCCTTGATGAGGTTGGGCTAAAATGCCACCATGAAGAATGCCGTTGTGAAATATCCAGCTGGCAAACAAGGAAAATCTTGCTCAATGATCCACAACAACAGACTAACAAATAGGCTACATATTGATGGGCAGCATACATTAGCACAAAGAAATCAGACCTGCAGGCCTCAAAGTTAAGTTTTGCCTAACTTTTGTTTACCCTCAATCCACACAATTTTCTGTTTCTTGGTGTCCTAATAACATCAGTCTTCTACATCAAAATAAAATGTTTTTAAGTGCATTTTCTTTAAGATTACATTTTCCAGGAGGCCAGGCTGATTTCACTTCTTCTCTCTGCCTGCGTCGCTTGTTTTCATTCAGGCTAACAGTATCAACTCTTTGCTACAGTTGGAAGAAATAAAAAACTATATAAATTTCCTCATATTCAATAAACATAAATATTAATAACTTTGCTTTATGACTTACAATAGATTTGGAGGCTAAAAAAGGACACTTAAGGACAGGAAAATACAAGAAATGTATATGAAATTCTATCGAGAAAATGAGTATAAAATTCCATTAAGATAATGAGTAATGAGTACCCCCAACGTTACTCACTACAATTTTTTAAATGTTTGACTGAGTTTGAAAAATTTTTAAACACCAAATCAAAATATTACAACCAACAATTTGAATGACAATTGTTCTGGAATGACTACAGCCTCTTTTACAAGTCAAAACACTTTTGTAAACACAGGGCTAGTAACAATAGTTATTCAAATTGGTTGCCATATTTTGATTCAGTGCAGAACATTTTGCCCTCTCCCCCCACCCACTCATCCCAAACCAATAATAATTATTTGTATACATCCTCTCAAATACCGTAATTGCTCATTCTTCCTGATAACAAATTTCTTGTTCTTTTATACTCACAGATAATAGCTGACCAGTACAGTCTCTACGGTCATTTCGCAATCCACCATAACTCTGTTTGTTTGCCTTGGCCTGCCTGGCCATTTCCTGGTACACTTCTTTTTCATGCTCTGGGAGGTCCTTAAAGCCAAACCCACAAATTACGACATTTATACAAGTTCTACAGTAATCAGTTGCAAGATATTTAGGCGTTGACCTTTTATGAACAAAATATTAAAACCACTATTTTTTAATATGCAAACAATTTGCAAGGCCTTTTCATAATTCTCGCTTCATAGTCAGTTGGTCATTCAAACTAAGTGTATATTTTCAAACTAAACAGCAACTAAGGACTTCCATCTAATAAAGACAGTAAGTCGTTTTAAAAGACTTTACTTCATTTTTGGTTTCTTGATTTCATTATTCGATTCGAATATACATATATTTATATTCATCATTGAAAACGAATCTCCAATATTCAAAAAATAATAAGAGTTTGAAATTTCGATCAACTTGGCTTGTAGGTTCTTTGTTTACACTGTAAATTGCGGAAACAGAAGGTAAGTCATTAATATTAGATATTTCTTTAATAAAAAATTGCTCTCGTATTTCAGCTGCATATATGCTTGGCTTTTGTATATGCTTGGCTTTTGTATATGCTAGGCTTTGAAGATTCGTTTTCAGTAATGAATGTTCAAATCGAATAATGAAATCAAGAATCCAAAAATGAAGTCATTAACGACCTCTACGTGTTCTCACGGGGTAGTTTGACTGTAGCTGTAAAGCTAAAAATACCTTCCATCTTGGCCCAGCTAACTCAGCTAAAGATTGCATTCCATTCGCCAAAACTACCCCTTGTCTCTCCAGCTGAGGACGTAAAGATATCATGTAGTAATAAAAAGCATTTTTAGGTTGGTTTTTGTTCTTTTTGTTGGGCATATTTGCTTTAGAGAACCATGAGCAATGCAGTCACTAACACAAATGAACCGGATGCACGCACGCAGATGGGAGATGGTTGAAAGCCACAGGGAACCCAATTTAGAAACAAATTATAGATAAAGCAATAAAAAAAACCCTTTTTTGAATTTTTATACTTTGGGATAAATTTATCGTGTTTTTATAATTGTACTAAGAGAAAAAAGGAAACCAAGCAAAAATGTTTTTGCGCATATCATTTTATTACTGTTATTTTTATATTTCCCTTTCATAGGCTCCCTGTGGTTGGGTGTCAACGCGCATGCGTGTTTGTATCCACGTGAAAATTTCAAGATGGCGGTCGGAGGAGCAGAAGAACACTTTGCTAAAAAGTTAGCAAATAACGACAAAACGATCCGTGACAGAGCCGTTAAAAGACTTCAAGCATGGATAGCAAGTCGACCATCAACTGTAAAAGGTGTGTGTTTTACATAAAACATTTGTTTTTAGCTATTTATCATCCGTCCACTTTCGTAACTTAAATTACGAAAAAGAAGAAATAAGCTTTAGGTCTTCTTTATTTTACTCATAAAATCTTTCGTAATAATAACATAATGCAATAATTTTGTATTGACTTTAGATTAGAGAAAATAGGGATCTCCGAGTATCAAGAAATGAATAATACCCTTTATTATGGAATAACGTGGCTCTGCATGTCTTTGGTAGCACGTGTTTTTGACCTTATCATTTTCTTATTCAGTTTTTTCCTTTTTATTAAGGAGAAGGGAGTTGGGCGAAAAGGGGGGAGGGGGTCTAAGAGGAAGGGGAGATTCCTATATTCATGTATAACACACATTGCTCAGTTGGTTGAGCATTAGACTATCATGCAGGAGTTCATGGTTTGAGTCCTGGCCAGATCAACACTCAAGGTCTTAAAATAAATGAGGAGAAGGTGCTGCCTTTGTAATAAAGACTACAAATGGTTAGACCTTAACGTGGCTCGGATGACCACATAAAGTGGTCGTCCTGTCTCTTCACATTACCTCCCCCTACAATGGAGGGACGTAAAAGAACAACTTCTGAGGATGTAAAGAAACCCTGGCAGTGGTGGCCACCCTCAGTTTCTGGTGTTTACTTATGATTTCTTAAGGGGTTGATTGTGGGATGGGTATGGGGATTTTACGGGTTTGGAAAGTGGTGTAATGTACCTGGAAGGGGACCCTGAGTCCTATTGTGCAGCACAAGCCTGTGGGCAAAATCTAAAAATCTAAAAAAAAATATTGAAAAATGTTCAGGGGTCGTGGAGGGGGTGGAGAAAAAGAGGCTACAGGCCTCCCAACCTTTTTCTTTTTCCCATACTAGTCTCTTATTTTCCAAACTTACCCCTACCTCCCACTTTTAGGGTGCTCCTCGGCCCCTGTTGTTGCTATTGATTTATTTTGTGCAGTAAATCCAATATTAAGATCTCCCTCTCAAATAAGCAGTCCCCTATTCTTATTTTTGTCCAAAGTTTAAACTTTGAAAGAGTATGTCTTACCACATGAAATACAGGGGGAATCATGTAATCCTAATACTTTAGTTTTTCTAAATCCATGATACCCTCCCCTCACTCTCTTTATATGTGCCTGAAATGCTGAAGCCCCTGGGGGTGGGGCTTTGTAGAGGATTTATGGTATACACGTTTTAATATTAGGTTTTAGTGAGATAGAGATGCTGAAGATATGGAAAGGACTGTTCTACTGCTTTTGGATGTCAGACAAACCTTTAATTCAGGTACAAACTATGGAGTTTTGAAAGCAAACTAAATGACTCAGACTAAATGATTTAGTTTATTAAAAGACTTCTCATAAGCTTTCATGATGTTAATACCATGCATCATATCACCTAAATAGCTGCTAGGTCTTTGTCAGTGCCTTTCTCGTAAATGATTATAAATCACCAATTGATACATACTGCATTTGGAGCTCGCATAGCATTAGACAAGCAAGGTTAGGACCATGAGACATGTTTTTTTTTATTTTAGAAGAATTTGTAAGAGTGGGTCTCTGTCCTCTGATATAAAAACGGTAGCTAGCCAATCGACATGTGCACATTTCTTAAGTATTTTATCCAGCCAATCAGCATGCAAGTTTTTTTAAATCTTATATAATCATCATGGTAAAATAAAAAATGCACAACTCGAAAAATACAACTTTTAAGTCAATAATTAATAACTAGAACTTAGATACAGCCAAGACTGCTATTTGCTATTGCTATTTTTAGCTCATGAACAAAAGCTTGATGGTGATATCTAACATCTTTTAGGAGGAGTTAGCAGAAAATATTTCCAAGTTACAACAAAGTTTTAAAAATAAGGAGTCAGGTATGAAAGACTGATCCAATCTTATAATATTGATTGATATTATTAATACTTATTAATATTTGGACCAGTTACCCAACTAAGGTATTGGTCAATAGCACAAAGGATATATGCACTGCGATGTAGAGTAGGTCATTTTTGGGCAGAAATTTAGGATACTTTCTTTTTGTTTTTCCTTCAGCTTTTACATATATCATAACATTTTTTAAGACAATGCACAAAGAATGGCATGGGATTGATCGATTAAGACTGGACAAATTTTATCTGGTAAGTTATGACAAACCTTCATTACAAGTCTCACATCATAAGAAACAATTTAAAAAAATTTTCAAAGATTCACCTATATAAATGTGACTGTGAAGCTATAAGTGAAATAGCTTTACTAGACATATTTTATCAATGGCAATTGATTTTTACCATTGGTCTTCATCAGGCAACGGTTCTCACAATCTTTGTACAAATCTCTGTGTGTATGTAATAATAATAATAATAATAACAATAACAGGGTTCTTATATAGCGCATTTTACATGGTCTCAATGCGCTTCACAATCATGACCAGTGGAGGACTTTATGGGCTGCGTATTTAGGCGCTAGTAGCAGCCGTGCAGCTTACAATCATGAGTAATTTGTTAGTAAGTTAGTATTAATGCCTCCAGATTGGGATAGGCTGTTGAACCGGGCGACAATCCCCTACTCTTATACGAATAATTCAACAGGTTCTTTTATATCCCCCATTTACTGTTGGTTAGGAAGGGTTGGGAGACAGGGCAGGCTACGGTTTTAAGTCCTTGTCCGAGAAGACTTAAGACTTAAGACTATGTACTGTATGCATCCTACCCCCATGATTTGTACCAAATACTCTTAAAACACCTTTACAGGCCAAGTGACCTTCAGTGTTTTTCTTCTATCAAGAAAAACTCCTCTATTCCAAAATATTCTTTAATATTCATATTTTTGTTTCACAGCTGGTGAGAATGTTTATAAAGGAGAATTTGGAATTTTTAAAGAGAAACAGCTGGGAACCAAGGTAATTGAGTTCAAAGAAAACAAATTTTTATTAACCCAGCAGTAATGATAATAACAATAATAATTATGAATAATGATGAAGAAGAGGAATATGATGATAAAAAATTAGATACCCTGAAACAACCTTTGGGCTGATCAAAGTCAGAGCACAGCTAACTTGAAGATCGAATTTATAGTTTTAGGCTTTACAGAGGGAATAAAAATGGAACCCCACCCCCCAAAAAACACCTGCAAATCAGGGAGGTTCAAAAGTTTTTTATTTTCCTTGCAAAATCTACAAAAATGAGATTAAGAAGTGGAGCATGCAAGAGAGACAACCCGAAAGGGTTAAATACGTTACTCTCACACGCAGAAGGATTATAAAATATTAATATCTAATATGAATTGTGAAGACGGCAAACTCTAAATGAGAGAGGAGAGACCTAACAAACTCTACTCATGTGCAAGTCAACCAATATGTGTTCTTGATTTTCTAGTGTTTGTAGTAGATTGTGTGATATTTACAAAGATGGCCCACTTCATCCTTCAAAAGAAAATGTAAGTTTTAAACCATGGACACCTACATGTGTTGAAAACAAGATCAAAAATTACTTTGCATGTTGATTTAAAAATAAAAAAGTGATTTTAATTCTGATGGTTTTTTGAATAAAAACACCTTGTGACCAACAGGTTCCTGCTGGAATGAAGCTTCATCTTTGTAGTGTCTTTTTAAACGAGCTTAGCAATGTTGCCAATGAAAAGGTGAGATATGCCAGTAAAAGTTTAAAAGAAAAACAATGATAGGGTCCATACATACATAAATAAAAAATGAATTGTATTTTTCTTGTAATGGGCAATGATCATGAGTTGATAATGAAAAGAGAAGATAATTTCCTATATTTGGCGAGAATACTGTACTGTTAGAGTTAGAGTTATGTAAATGAGGAGTATATTAAATTATACTTTGTATGTTGTGACATATCAGAGTGAGATCAGTGTGGTCCTTGCTCACAGTCAATGGTATCTGATAGTTTTGCCTAAGCATAGTTTCCCATAGTTGCCCACTGAAGTTCGCCTACATATCAGTTTTGCTTACTGAAGTTCACCTACCTATCAAATGTAAAAACCATTGTAAAACCTATCTATGAAGGGTAGAGATGATAAATATAATGTCAAAAAAGGGGGGGAATAGTTCTTGTTTAATAATAAGGAAAGTTTTATATGAATGTCAAAGCAAACAATATTGAGAAACACTAAAAACTGACGCGTAACATTTAACTGTTGTGTGACAACAAGAGTGTTAGGACTCATCAATGAAACCAGCAAACTACCTACCTGAATTGTGTAAGAAATATTTGACTGTTTGCTCAGTGACCCATGCTATAAATGCTTTTCCCCATGCAATATTTGTGCCTGCCGAGCTTTTAATTTATTTTATAAACAAATGGTACTATATTCTTCTCAACAGGTTTCATCAGAGATTATTTCATCATTATTGGAACCATTCTTTGTTCTTGCTGCAGAAACTAAAAGGTGATTCATTTGATGAGACACAAGGAATCGTAAAAAGGCACAACATTTTTTATTAAATTTCTTGAATTTGTTTTCCTGTACATTTGCACAGTCAAGTGGTTAGTCGGGCTGTGAAAGATGGAGTTCTAGAAAAACTGTTGGACATAGAAGAAAAAAGATTAAGAAAAGAAAATGAAGAAGATGAGAAACAAGATGAAAAGAAACAAATATTACAGGTATTTTTATGGCGCAACGAGCAAAAGTGTGGCTAGATTTAATGTATTCGCATACTTCTATGCATGGGTTCTGTACATTAAACTGACACGTTTCAATGGGAAGCTGGCTGGTTTTCCCTATATTTTGATCTTGCCAAATAAGGCCTGTTTTGAAGGAAAAAGCCCATTGGATGTGGTCATACTTTTGGGTGTTGTGCTGTAAATGAGACAACTTTACCAAGGTTCTTTTTATATATTTCATGTATTATTTTCCCTGGAAATTAAAGTTCAAAAGTCATGACAGCCATAATGGAGAAAAATGAAATGTTAATTAATTCATCCAACACTGTATTGAAATTAGAACTGATTAAGATTCCTGTTTTCGTTTTCATCTTTTTCCTGTATTTCACTTTACCTTTTGCAAACCCTTTCCCCAAAGACAAATATTCTTTTGTTTATCTACTACTTGAAGATATTAATTCCTAAAACTTTAGTTAAAGACTAACACATCTGCTGATTCTGTTGTTTCCTGCTAGATAAACTGCCAAGCTATTGCTGATAAGCTGTTTTCCTTGGGCAGTGATAGAGAAATACTAGGGCGAAACAGGAACCTGCTTTATCTTTATGCAAAGAAGTAAGTAATTGTGCATTATATTTGCTTATTAATATTAGATCAGTTTACATACGGTATGACTGTGAAAAACTCATGGCACAAACACAGTGGTGACACGGCACGGGCATATGCCATACTTTCTATCCAATCAAATGCCAGAAACACTGAATAAATATGGCTCGGACATAATCATGCCGAGGTCACAGCACTGTTAGACCAATCCAATTGCACTAGAAAAAAAATCTCCCCATCAAAATTTTAGAAAACATCACGCTTGCAGCAAACTACGCATATTGCACTGACTTTTTCGCAGTTTTTCAACTGCTCTAATAACTGGGACCACTTGAACAAAATTTAAGAGGAGAGGGCAAATTCAGTGATCACGATTATTGACCTCAGCCAATCTTTTCTTTATGTTTATCCCCACATTTGTTAATTGTTAACATCTAATTTTTTTGTCATATCTATGCTTTGTTGCTTGCCTACACCTCATATTAACCACCTCTCATGAATTCACAACTCATTGTAAAGCACCTTTGAACATATCCATAATATGAAAAAGAGCACTATGTAAATATTATGATCATTATCATGATTGGTTGATTCCTTTGTTTTCACTCTGTGTTGTGACTGGTTGACCTTTTCAAGTTGTCCCCATTGTGTCTGCACAGTAATTATAGTACTACTAGAAAAGCTAAAGTTTCTAAAATAATTCTTTCACTTTTCATCAGATTCAAAAAAGCTGTTTCAGGTATGTAAATTAAATAATTTAACGTTAATGTTTTTTCAAGAAAACAATGTAGTGATTCTTCTCCGGTTTCCTCCCTCCGTAAAAATCAACATGTGAGTTGAGCGTTGTGTGCATAGAATAGTAAATGTAGTGGTAGTGCGTGCGAGCGAAAAGTGTCCCCAACTAGTGCAAAAGCGCTAGAACGTCAAAGACACTTAAATAAAGTGATTTTTTTTTTCTATATTAAAATCAAAGAAGAGCAGTCCTAATATGAGTGGGAAATATATGGTACTATCTTACAGAACATTCCCTGTATGACCTGTCATATTGTAAGCTTGAAATGGCTTCCTTTTGTCGTCCAGTAATTAACCCAATCTCATTGTGTACTATAGTTACAGTTATCAAAAGATATGGTACCGTAAGAATCTACTATAATTGTTCTCCTTTATGGATACAAAATCTGCTCTATAGTTCTAATAATTTTAAAGAATGAGTTAATCCAGATAAATCATATCCTTACTTTGGGTATCACTAAATGTACTTCAATAAATTAAAGCCATTCTTTTCTGTGTGGTTTGATTTCTTCTGCACATCACAAGATGAATGCTTCTGTACCACTTTTTTTCATTTTCTAGATGATACAGAAGGAAATGAAAAAGGAAGAAAAAGAAAATTAGAACAAGAAAAAGAAACCGAGAAATTACCAGATGAAGTTGTACCAAATAAGAAGTCTAAGAAGAAACAGGAAAAGCTGAGGTTGAATGGCACTGCATCTTCAGAAATTGGTGAGAAAGAAAATGAACCAGAAGTAACACAGAAGGATGGCAAGAAAAAGAAACAAAAAAGGACCCAAAAAGGTCAACAGGATACAAGTGAAAAAGAAGTTCCAGCGCCACCAAAAATGAAAAAGAAACCAACAAAAAAAGTATTAGATATAAATGGGTATTCTAAAGATGATATTATAAATAAAGAGTCTAGTGTAAAAACAAGCAATGGCTTACAGGAAGATGAGACAAAYAATAATGAAGTGGCAGCTCAAGGAAAAAGTTCTTTATCAGAAAAGATTGTAGAAAAGACAATAAAAGAGTTGAGAAGTCAGGTTTCATCAGCACAAGATACAGAAAAAACTCCTGTAAAGAAAAAGAAAAAGCAAGAACTTCAGGGTGATGAAACTCCTTTTGCTGCTTTTACCAAGACAGTGACACCACCTGCATTCTTTAAGGAAGCTGTGTCTCGCACTGAACCAAGGAAGGCTAAGACATCAAAGGTATATCATTTTTATAAGCTTGGTAAAACTTTTCTACAACTTTTTTAAAAAAGCTACAGATGCACATTCTTTATTTTTATGACATTTTTTTCATCAAAATTTCTCTCTTAGTTTGGTGAGAGAAAAGATCCCCAGACATCCTTTTTGCCGATAATTAAATAAATAATTTGTATTAATTATCTCTAATAAGTAATTAAATAAGTCCAAAACATTTATTGACATTTAACCATCAAACTTCCAATGTCTTTTACAAAACTTTCTACAGTATAGGACTGACATCCCATCTACCACATTTCTACTGACAGTCTACCTGGACCCTACTGACAACCTACCAACATCCTACTGACCACCTATACTGTACCAACACCCTACTGACGAACTACCAACATCCTACTGACCACCTCCACTGTACTAACACCCTTCTGACCATCTACCAACACCCTACTGACCACCTACCAACACCTTACTGACAACCTACCAACATCCTACTGACCACCTACACTGTACCGACCCTACTGACAAACTACCAACATCCTACTGACCACCTACACTGTACTAACACCCTACTGACAAACTACCAACATCCTACTGACCACCTACACTGTACCAACACCCTACTGATGAACTACCAACATCCTACTGACCACCTACACTGTACCAACACCCTACTGACGAACTACCAACATCCTACTGACCACCTTCACTGTAATAACACCCTACTGACAAACTACCAATATCCTACTAACCACCTACTAACTCCCCACTGTCAACCTACAGTACCAACACCCTACTGACAACCTACCAACACCCTACTGACAAACTACCAACATCCTACTGACCACCTACTAACTCCCCACTGTCAACCTACAGTACCAACACCCTACTGACAATCTACCAACATGCTACTGACAACAATAGAACACCCTACTGACCACCTACTAACACCCCACTGTCAACCTACCAACACCCTACTGACAACCTACCAACACCCTACTGACCACCTACCAACACCCTACTGACAACCTACCAACATCCTACTGACAACCTACAAATACCCCACATCCTGTTGTGCTATACAGTATATACCGTGCTTTACACCCCACTGGCAACCTACCAATACCCCACTGACAACCTACCAACATGCTAGTGACAACCTACCTACGCCCTACTGGCAACCTTCCAACACTACACCCTACTGTGCTATGCAGTATATACAGTGCTATAAGTTGTAGCTGTCATATGTCACCCTCTCTAAAAAGTGCTTCTGTAAAATAGTGAAACCATATCAATGGTTATGCTTTCATTTCCATTGAAGCTCACATGTCCAAATTCAGAACCTCAAAACTCAAAGAAGAAAGTAAGGATTCATTTGCACAAGAATAAAGCACAAAGCACTTCAGGTAATGCCTCTTACAGGGCCTTTCATAATATTCTGTTACTTCGTAAATTTGGATAACATTCTGTCACCACAATAATATACTGTGATTGACGGATGCCAAAACGTTTTTTTGGGCTGATGCCAAATATGTTGAGGTTGTGTAATTATAATATGAAAAGCACTGTACTGTAATGCACACCATTGGAAAAATTCTAATTTACTCTTTGTGAAAACAAAGTTCGTAATAAAAAGCCACTCCAGTCACATCTACTCAAGTAACAGCCACTCCAGTTAAATACCACAGACCACAACACATTGAAACATCTAACATCTGAAAAGGTGTTTGAGCTGAAACTCAACAACTTCTTCAAGATTTTTTCGCCGTAAATTGCCCGAGAGAAATGTATGTACACGTACGTAAGTTATATGGCTCTCTTGGGGCATAAAGGGTTAATCTAAATTTGCCCTCTCTCCAGTTAATTTTTGTCTAGTCCCTTAGTGCAGTTTGTTGAAATGGTACTGTTAAAATAATTGGTTTAAGGTTAGACTTCATATCTTATCCTCTGGTCTGTTTTAATCTTTAGATTATGTCAAGAGTGTAACCAGCAGTCCAGATATTCCATTTGATGCAAGCCGCACACCAGAATTCAGTCTCCTGAAAACCAAATCCTTAACTAAATCAAAGCCTGTAATAGCTGCCAAGAAACGCACGCCATCTAACCGATCCAAGGCGGTTGATTTTTTCTAGATAATTTATTGTTATGTGATACTCTTAGGGCCTTTGGCCTACTTTAACACATGAATGGGGCAGATCTAGGAGGTTCGTCCAAACCCTCTAAACCAGAATTGAACCCCCTTAAATGACAACTATATGAACTAAAGTTCCTACTTTAGATCGTCTTCATTTTATCAAACCCCAAAAGGACAAGTACAAACCCTCTAATTAAAAGCTTTTTTGGGGGTTTGCCAAACTGCAAGGCAGTTCAAACTCACCATGAAAATCCTGGATATGCCCCTTCGCCCCTACGGATACTTATAGAAGCATAAGCTGTCAGGATTGCCACCATTATTAAAATAGTGACTGCAGTCTCCTTATTTCAAACTTACCTTTATCTCGAATGCGAGGCCATTTCCCATGGAATAGCCTAGGATTTTGGTAGGATTAAAGTATACTGTTTGCTGACAAGAATCCTACCTATACTGATTTGGGGGTCTTTCTTTTTAAAGCCATGATGACTTGATATTATGCATTTTTTTTTTTAAATCAACATGTCCGTGAAGAAAAGGCAAGGAAAATCGTAGAACAAAATTTATAATTTAACCCCTAAAAGAGAGAGTTTGGGCAAGGTACTGGTTTAATTTTAGCCCTACAGATACCACTTTTTACCACAAGATAGAAAGTATGACTGATATTCCTTTTAATGTTTAGGGCTAAACCAATTGCATACCCCTAAAAGATACCACGTGCTAAAAACCAATGAAGGAGTGACTAATAGTTTCAATCCTAATAGACATATGAYGGTCTTTCCTGCTCTTCTTTATATGGGTGTAATCAACCCTCCTCCCCTGGAAGCAAGTCAAAAAGGCTCAGTCAAAAACAAACAAACATTTATGTAATGCAATAGAATTTACTTTTTAACAGCAGTTCTTCTAATATTTGCATATATCAAGATGTGGCAGAAATAAATAATCTGACTTATAATCTTTACAGATTACTGTACATGTGTATCAGTCTTCACTTAACCAAAAGTATTACCAATACAACAACAAACACTATTTCTAACTTTTTGTTGCTTTCTTTCTTCCATTTAAGTTTTTTTTGAAAATGCTCTTTTACTGTTAAAGTGCAGACACACGGTGCAACATTGCATGCAACATTGCAAGCAACAAATTTGAATTGGGGTGACTGACACATATTGCAACAAAATCACACAACATTGCTTGTGTCAGTGTGCTATGCTAAGATATTTGGTCAGCAGTTATAAATTTGGTGCAAGCTGATTGGCTGGGATTTTTAAAATGTTGCACACAATGTTGCAGCCATGTTCACACAATGAAATTTGTTGCGCACAATGTTGCAAGAGTAGAGCGTGATTCAACTTCAGATTTGTTGCATGTAACGTTGCATGCAACAAGTTTTAGGGGTAGACATGCTGCAACAGTCCTGTTGCGTGCAATGTTGCACTGTGTCTCCGTACATTTAGTACTGTTAGTAAATTGGCCTCAATCATGATGACATTTCGTACTTCTAGTTCGAAAATACCTTTTGGTTTTTTATGCTTATTTTTCACTATTGACTTTGTATTCTCAAAGGAGGTTTATGACTGTTGATAATGTATCCACATACTTTTATAGACTGGCTTTTGTACATTATACTGACACATCTTTCAAGATATGTTCCTGATTTTGATGCCGCCTGTTTGATTTTTGTCCAGGGATTTTTTCTCTGTTGAAATGATGTTTTATACAATGTCTGGAATAATTTATCATGATGGCAACTCTTCTTTTAAGTAACACCGTCGAACTTCCAGGGCTTGTTTGAAGAGAGTCATATCCATACCATCAATGCAGCCCGCAATTCTTGCTTTAAGGACCACAGGAACCCCACTTTGGTTAATTATCTCCCCAATAAAGTGATATTGGGAACCCTTGACAAATGCTAGTGGCTCAACAAGGGATGTGTCCACAGTGAGTTCATTGTTACCATCTTTGATTTTCACTTGACTGGTCTTGATGTTATGTGAGAGAATCCTGAAATGAAGAAATCAAAATATTCATGTGTCTCCGCAATATGTGCAAATGTTAAAAATAAAGCAATGATACGCTAGGGAATGACACATGGTCTTAAATGGGAAGTTATAATGCTGAAGGTACTAGGCTTGTTGAGCCAAAAACCCCATAGCTAGGTGAAGGGCAAATAAACTATCATTACATGTACACCATCCTTCATTCTGGCATGCTCTGTCTCACTTCACAATAAAATCAATCTTTAACTGAGTCTTTTCTGGCTTTTTGGTCATGACAAAGCAGGAACTAGAGGACTCTGGATACATCGTACAAGATTATTGCAATAAAATAAATGAGCATGGGCTACTTAGCACCCTAAAAAGTGGGGAGAGGGGGGCTGTTGCCTCCCTACCCCAACCCCTCCGCAGCCCCTAATGAAGATGCTTCCCCCTCCCTAAGTCCTCCCTAGAGTTTGACAGGAGCTCCACCAAGTTACACCCCTTTTTTCCCCTAAGATATGGGGTCATAGGACTTACGTTCAGCCTGATCATCAGCCTCTATTAGCTTATAAATTAAGCTTGTAAATTTTTAATAACAGTTATATATAAATGAGCTTTTAATTTTGCATTAATATTATCGTCGTATTGCATAAAGCGATGCATTCTAATATCGTCTCCGCTACTCACCTTCCCCAAGTCCTGACTGACTGGCCAATCAGATGATCATTTAACCGTGTTACTTCTGCAATAGAGAGAATCCTTCCACTCGAAATCCCCGCCATTTTTGATAATCTCTTGATGGATTTTTGAGGCAGACTGGGAATGAGTCAAGAATGAAACAAAGGGAACCAACAATTAGAGGTATTCGCTCTCTCTAGCACACGTTTTCAGGCTTGAAAGAAAAGAAAAAGAAATGAAGCTGATTCTATAGTCAAAAAGCAGGTAATAACTTCCAGGTAAAAATAAAGCTTTTAGGATAACAAAGAGCTTTTTATTCGACTCTAGCTTGTGAAGTTTTTTTTTTTTTTTTTTAAATCGTCGAATCCTCATTCCATATCAGATCATCTTAACCTCTAACCCCACTGCACTTGTTTTAAATAATCATTTAAAATCCTTTTAAAATGCTATTCTCTAATATCTAGAGCATATCGATTATAAGCTGTTTGCTGGTAGGAAGGTCTATGTATTAACAAGCTATGAATGATATTGGTCTTAACATTTGTACATACAAACAAGCTTTTTTATTATGATCCATTCAATTACTTCAAATTAATTATATAGTCTTATATATACCATTCAGTTTTTACAGAGCCTGCAACGAGCTAGGTAAACTAATACTGTACGATGGATAAAGTAATTCAAGGAGTCTTGAAATTTCAGAATACTGTGCGTTCTAGTTTACTACCCACACTGAAAAAACTAGCAAATAAGGCAGAGGTATGTTTCACTTGTATCAGATGAATTTCAACTATATACTATATATAATGGTATTGCTGTAATTACAATTAGCCATTCCAGGGTTGAGGGGAAAAAACGGGGTCAAGTAGACATCACAGTGCATTGTGGGCTGTTTTAGGGCACAAAATAGATGCCATCTTGGGAATATGTCCCCTAAAACWGTCCCACAATAAATTGCAATGCCAACTTGACCCACCCAGTTTTTTCCTGAACCTTGGAGTGGCTAATAGTGCTTTGCTAATTAGAGCTTAAAATACATACTAGTTGCACAATTTTTTCTTGTAACACACCTTACAATTTTTTCCACAAATCACTTATATTTTATTACATTCACACTTCCCTTCTAGTTTACCACTTGCTAACGAAACAACCATAACATTTAGTCAAGAAATTGAAAGCATTGTATTAATGCCTTATATATAACAGCTTTCCTGTATTCTGATTGTCTTTTTTTAATGGTGACCCTTCACATACATGGCTGGACCACAGTGGGAGGAACTAGACAGCTACATCCCCCCCCCCCCTAAAAAATTCACTGCCATTAAATTTCGAACTCCCATCCCCCCTTTCTTCACGTACCACACACACATACGCATTAATTTTATTTTTATGCATACTAGTCTGTTATATTTTCTGGACAATTTAAGCCCTAACCCCCTGTCCCCCCAGGGGGGGGGGTACTCCCCTATATTTGCTATACGGGTATGTGCCGCCCTATAGGGTATGGTTTTTGGGCTTTTGGGTCTGGGGTAGGGTATCATTTTTTGACATTTTGTCTGGGATAGGGTATCATTTTTGTCTGGGATAGGGTTACGATTTGGTCGTTTTAGTCTGGGATAGGGTTAACGATTTGGTCGTTTTTGTCAAGCGAATAGACTACGCTTTCTGACGGCACAAAAACAATAAAAACGTTAGTAAATATTGATTGCAATCTATTGAATAGCCGTCTTTTTACATCTTTTAGTCTGGGATAGGGTGTATAATTCTTAATTTTAGTCTGGGGTAGGGTATGTAAAATCAAAATTTTAGGTCTGGGATAGGGTCAGGGTTTTGAGGTCCTGGCGGCACACCCCTACCCAAGTTGGGGTGGTAGTACCCCCCCCGGGCCTGTCCCCCTGGCTCTCCAGCCTTTTAAGCCTGGGGGGGAGGGGGTACTTCACCAGAATTTGGGTAGGGGTGTTCTGCTGGGATTCTGAAAGGGGTATCCTGTTCATGCGCTGAGTTCCTGTTTCAATTTTCATGTCACCTCGTGTATCGTTTTTTTACGACCATAATAAACAGTTTTGGTCAATAGGAAAATAGAAACCCTGAATATGACAGGAAACTCAGAAAGAACTTGAAACTTGAGTGAAATTGCATACCCTGTTTATGACAAGAAGCTCAAAAAACTATACCCTGTTCAGCGGATCATCCCCGTATAGTCCATATATGGGAGTACCACCTCCCCCCCTGGGTTTTTACGGTGCTCTGCTAGCTTTCCTTGACATACTTTCCTTATATTCATTCTAGCCACAAGTACTTTTTGTGTCCTGCATGGACAGTCGCATAGTGCCTGACAGCTATACAACTTCAAGTCCTGGACACATGTTTGTAATTAGGAATGCTGGTAACTTTGTACCTCATGCAAGACTATTTGGCTCTCTCGGCCACACATACTCTGAACATGCTGCGCTAGAACTGGCTGTTACTAAGAGCCATGTCAAACATGTTGCTGTTTGTGGACATTCAAACTGCAAGGTACTCTAACTTTATTGTACTCAGGTATACATATTACTTTACAGTGTCACTACTGTAGCCAGGATTACTTAGACAGTCAGACAAGAGAACCAATTTAAATGTAGAATAAAAACAATGCATTCCAACTTTGGGTAGTAGAGCCAATCAGAAACCTAGACTGCGCAAGAATTGTAATTTGACCCTGGTGTTCTGTGTAAACAACTAGATAGCTATCGTTATTTTCTCATGGGAATAAAAACATCTGTTGAAAGGCCATTGTTTTCTGCTTATTTCTGATTGGCTCTACTACCCAAAGTCGGAATGTATTGTTTTTATTCTATAATTTGATTGTTTCCCCCTTTTTAAAGTGCTACTACGACGAAAATCGCTCAAACTTGGATTCAGCTGAAACTTCCTAAGAATACTCTTTAAAGGTCCAATAATCACTGTATGAAGTGTTTTCTTGATATTCAGGACGAAAGTATGATATTTTTACGATTATTTTTTGGAGTCTGTGACGTCATACACTCAACATCAAACATTGCTACATATATTTCTTTGTATATAAATCCTTAATTTATTCTATTCCTATGAAGCCCAAAGGGTGGCTAATGTGCTTATTTCACATTACTTGGGACTATAATTAATATTTTGGGGTGTTTGGGTATTCCTTTCTCCCTTTACTACTGATATTTTGATCATAAACTACAAAAAAATGTATGGAGCGATGTTCGATGTTGAGTGTATGACGTCACAGACTCCAAAAAATAATCGTAAAAATATCATACTTTCGTCCTGAATATCGAGAAAACACTTCATACAGTGATTATTGGACCTTTAAAGAGTATTCTTAGGAAGTTTCAACTGAATCCAAGTTTGAGCGATTTTCGTCGTAGTAGCACTTTAAGTGGCCCCGGTCATAGTAGTTGCACTGTAATATGACTCTCTAGGAATTGATTATAGGGGTGGGAATCAAGAGTGGTTTGGTACTATTATGCACTTGCTTCTTACCTCTGAGGGCTCTGGGGACTCTGCATCACATGTGAATAAAGTTTGTTTCTAGCTCTCTCCCTTGATTTAAGGGGTTTTCTCTGATTTTCTTCCCTCTGTGCAAAACCTAAAGCGCCAATACCAATTTAATCTGTGAGTTAGCCATGCCCTGAGTTCCTGAGATAGATCTGCCCAGAAGTTGTTTCCTCCTAAGCCTGTACACCCCTTGTGGGGTATAGGCCATCAACAACATCTAACAACATCAGAAGTTGTTTCATTGTTCAATAAAATGAGTATGTTTTAGTTTAGTGAAAAAGTGTTAACAGTAAGGCGGATGTTTGTTTAAAGCATGAACTGAACTCCTTGACACCTGATGTATTCTGTTCATACTTTTCTATCATCTCAGGCAATGGAGGGCCTATACAAGACTCACAGTGGCTCACCAAAACAAGAAAATGATCCAGCATTAGAAAACTGGATCAAGACCCATGGACAGTCATCCATAACCAAGTTAGATCAGCTAATGTTTCAGGAGGGTAAACCAGTTCACTTAGTGTTTGGTGAAGAAAGTGAACCTGATAAAATTGAAGCCATTATTGACAAAGATGACAAACTGGAGCCCATTGATAAACTTTCACAAGTATGTAATAATAATGTTATCTTTTTTTAGGATAGAAAACATCAACACAATCATTTTGATAAAAAAGAATTACACCTAATTCAAAAAACGTTGTCATCGCCAAAGGCAATAGGCAATAGGTGATAGGCGAAAAGCGATAGGATATATGTCATTTCAAGATCCAAGAATTGCTGGAATGACTTGTGTTTCTGAGTTAATGTAATTGTTTTGATTGACAAAAGCATGAAATATTTTTCCTACAAACATTTCTTAGGAACTTTAACCATTACCACACCAACTCACTCTCTTCCTACCAACCTCACCACCATCACCATCCCCATCACCACCACCCCTATCACCACCACCCCCACCACCACCACCACCACCACACCACCACCACCAAACCACCACCACACCACCACCGAGTAGTATAGGGAATGGGGGTTCCAGCGCAATCTCAACACGGGCAAGACCCGTGTCAAAAATCCACCTACGGAAACAACCC